CTTTCTTTGGAATAGATTAAGAACATAATTTTACAAATAAGAGATGAATTGAAAGCATAGATGGCTAATGAATGGAAGTTGCAGATTACAATCAGCTCAGTAGTGGAACTGAAGATTAAAACAAAACTTTTAATGGTTGTTTTTAGAATTCTTTTAACATTAGGTTTTCATTTTAGTATGTGATTATATCTAGCAAGATACTAACCATATTGAATAAAGATAACTATAGTGATCTAGTTTTTCTTACAGGATAGTATGTAGAATTGAAAAGTAAACATCTGTTCATTGCTTCTGCAAAATAAGTAATACTTTACAAAGAAGACTATTTTTACATTTTAAATGTAAATATGATTTTAATGTTATTATTTTTATTACAACTATTTTGCTAGACATAAGTAAATTAGTACACCAAAAGTAATACACTTTTTAAAAATTGCTGAATTTCAAGTTTGAAGCAATTAGAAGTGCAAGAATAAAGGTTGAATTTTTTGAAGTTGTAAATACAAAAATAATTATACTAAAAGTACCTAATTATAAGGATGCTGTATAGCATGTATTTGATTAGTTGATACTTTCCTACCATATGAATGCTTATGTTGCTTTACAAAGCTTGGGAAGTAAATGTGCAAAGCTTAAATTCAGCCCCTTTTCTGCTTTCAATGTGGAATTTCTAACAAAACTGTTAGTGACTTAAGTTCCAGAAAGTACCATATGTTGTGAAAACTTAGTTCAAAAGCATGGGCGATATGCTTCTTAAAAACCAAGGTTGAGGGGGGCAGGGGTGAGGGAGAGAGAGAGATTATAACTCAAACCTTTTAAAGATTATTAAGCAAAGGTGACTTTTCACAGACACTGATTGCAAGGGAAGTACTTGTTTTAATCAGTCAGCAGAAGTATGAATGACTATGATTTTTTTTCCTTTTCAACCAGCAATGCAGATAGATCTGGAATAATAAAGTAAAGGAAAAGTAAAGACTGCATTAATATAGGAAAAGAGCAGATGTGTATTAAGACGGCATCCTAGCTAAACTGAAGTAGTGTTTTTTGACCCTATGAAAATATTAATACACTGGCGGTAATTCTGCAGTCAGATTCAGGCCACAAAGAGAACGGCCAACTTCTTTGTTATTGCTAGATGTGCAGCCTCTAATTTAGAAGAAACAAAACTTGTACATGATAATGAAGCAGAAGATCAAAGTTCAAAATTAGGTTGCTGCATCACTGGGTCCCAAACTGAAAGGTGTCACGTGACCCAGAGACGGATTTTTTTTTTCTACAGAGATACCTAAATTAGAATGAGCAAGTTTGACTTAATAATAATGGAGAGGGGAGGACTGAGCGAACATTATAAGAGCACATCACATCATGATATTCTGTAAGGGGAAGATGGGTCAGTTTAATATTCAAATGAAATCTTTATTACAGCCATAGACCAGCATAATTCAGTTTAATATTTCTTGTTCGGAAAAGCAAGAATACCAGCTATTATCTGCAGGTAGGAAAAATTGTTAAATATTTCATTCCTCCTAATTCATTTTTGCTTCCCTGCTATTGTATAATGGAAGACTTTAGATGCAAAAATGTCATTTTGGGCAGACTGATGTAAAATATAATCTTTTCTAAAATCATTATACTTTTAACTCTGCTTAACAGTTCTAGTGTTTGAGACCTTTTGGCTTGAGGAAAAATTCCTACCTGGATACAATATTGTTAACCAAAGTCTCTGTGTTACAAATAAACATGGATGTACATTTCCATATTGTGAATATATACAGCTTTTACACTATTTCCAAGACAAGTCTTTTAGATTTTTTTTAAAAAGTGAAAGAGTTTAAATTCTAAACCAGTTGAAGGGTACAGAAGCTATTACTTGGAAAGAAGATGATATTACATAGCATTTGCTAAGACTTGGGACCCTTAAGTTAAAATGTGAACTTGTAGAAAACAGATTATTGGCAGGTTTGAAGATGTAGTGAGATCTGAAGATACTGAAATTCAAATAGTTGTTGAGCTCCCTGAGACAGATTTCTAGAGACTTCAACCATTTGCATGTAGAGGGGAGAATGGTATATATGGGTCTTTCCCTTTTTCAAGGAAGTTTTGCTTAATTAAAGCTGTGGGTAGCTAAAAACATAGGCTTTCTAAGATACACACTTAAGACATCGTGGAAGGCTTTAATGAATATACTTTTTAAATGTATATGTGTTTGGAATTTGCTATGATGCAGAATAAAGGGTTCTGTTAGAAAAGCAGAGAGGATGGAACAGAAGGTTAAAGGGTATTTTGGAAACAAACAGCTGGACCAGCTTATTTAAACAGAATCAAGGATTGGGAGCTGACCTCCATTTGACTTCTAGAGGGAGGAGCAAGAATGTCATTTTATTACTTTGGCTAGAAGGAAGATGTTCTTTATTCTGAAAGCACCCTGAAGGCACCCTAACATTTGGGCTGTTTTTCAGAGTAGTTATTAAACACAAAATACATAGGAGAAAGTCAACTGTTAAGCCTTTGTGGGAAATGTTATTTAAAAGACCAAGGGCCATAGCATGTGTGTTTCAACTTGTATCTTGTCCAGGATCACAGAGAGGAAATGTTACATTTAAAAAAGGTATTGACATGAAATTTTGTCACTTGAAGGCTTCAACCTGAAATTTCTCCCTCCCCCCAGGGGACAACCTTGTTGCTGATAGCTTTAACATATAATACAATAAAGTAGATCTTCATTAAAAAGAGTTGAGAAGCATTTATTTTAAGTCTTCTAAATTTTCTTAAGCAAGCATTTTATTCTGTGCTGGCTCCATAAAGGCTTCTCATTAAGAATAGATAAATATTCCTAGTTTTGGATGAGTCTCCAAAACTGTTTATCTAATTGTACTATCATTAGTTTTACTGTTACCATTATTCTATTATTTAATGAAATCAGTGTTGTAATGTTGTATAAGCTTATAATTCCCTCTGTATATTGCTTCACTACAGAGATGGGTTGCTATTTTTTTTACTACCAGTTCGCGTATGATCATGCTAGCGTGCAATGTTCTGTGCATGCGCAAAAGCGTCCGGGTGGCTGGGAGGAGGCGCTCACCGCCACTACTACTGGTTCGGCTGATCTGGCAGCAACTTACTTCTGCTTCAATATTGTCACAGAACACAGAAAAAGGGGTTTTGCAGATTGCTTCCAATAGAAGATTTCATAATAGACTTGATTCTATTGATCATACAATGTTTCTTACTTTATATTTTTAGGAGAATTACTGTATTCCAAATGGATTCTAAGCAATATTAGCTTGTAGATGTTGTTGGTCTGGAGGCAAAATACTTTCAGGTGACCTCCTAAACTGATAAACCATACCCCATAACTACTTAATAATACATAAGTACATAAGTACCCCATCTCTCCAGCAGGAGACCTTATTGATCTAGGATTGTTTAAAATCAGAGTCCCTATTGCCACAAATGGGAAGCCTTTCCCAGCAGAGAAGACCCAGGCTAGCAAGGTATATAAAAATCAGTCCCTGTTCTGATGGGGAATTGGACTTTTAAAGCAAATAGGCATACCGCCCTATCAGCATAGCAATAGCAATAGCAGTTAGATTTATATACCGCTTCATAGGGCTTTCAGCCCTCTCTAAGCGGTTTACAGAGTCAGCATATTGCCCCCACAGTCTGGGTCCTTACCCACCTCTGAAGGATGGAAGGCTGAGTCAACCTTGAGCCGGTGAGATTTGAACTGCCAAATTGCAGCTAAAAGGAGCTGAAGTGGCTGCAGTACTG